ATTCGGCAGTAGCGGTAGTCGGGACATGCAATCGACTGGGATAATGTAGAGATGATGAAATAAATAAATGGTGGTTGTGATGAATCTCAATTCTAACTAAATAAATGTTCTATTTTCTAGTGCGTCGAAGCAAACCAAATAACGCATCGAAATGTTACAGGCAAATATGTGTCGTAACAGACACGTTGCGTTACATGAAGTGGGAAGACGGCTGAAAGGTCTAGGATTTGCAGAATTTGGAAAAGTATCAGTGTGAACAAAATCATTTGTGTTGTGACGATAGACTGGAATTATGTGTGTGTAATGTAGAGTTCAACTATCAAAGTGTAAAAAGTGAAGTGCTAACGAAGCGTGCAGACATGAAATTCTCTTGTAGTGTACACATCAATAAGGGTGAAATGTGGTTCTGATGAACTTGCCGATGTGAAGTTGTGGGCTGTGACTTTATTCCATGGCGAGTCACATTCACCAAAGATTGCTGAGGTGGAAGAAATTGCGAAAGCAGATAATTGTGTGCACAGAATGGATGAGGTGGAACTATCAAATACGCGGTGGGCTGTGTCTTAACCCATTCAGTCTGAGCATCGCCGGCGGATGGATTCAGGTTGGAGCAAAAATAGGTCCAGCCGCAACCACTATAGAATCAACAGCAAGAAAAACAAGTTTTCAATATATGAATGACCTGTCACACGGACCACTTTGAGAACGTTCCATGCGCGTTGTACTCCTGGAATGACATATTTATCTTTTGAACCTGTAGGCACAATTATGCACTGGCAGCAGTTAATTCTCTCAATCATCATCCAAGGTTGCCATGAAAACCCAAGCCTGGTCTGGTAAAGCTCTTGTGTCAAGGGCGAAACGCAACCATATTACAAGGCTTGAAACAACCGATTTGTATCTTGAAACCGTCCCAAAATATGAATTCGCAGTCGGTTCCGAGTTTATTCAAGTCTATTGGATAACCGAGAGCCCTTGGAGAGGGAAAGATGGACGTATTTGCAAACATTGGCGTGCGGATGAATTCATCTGGCGCACGGGTTTGAGGGAGAGTATAATAACTCAGAGCATGTTTGGACATTAGAGAGAGAGAGCAATTCAGACGACTCGACAGATTGGAAGCAGGACGTGGCGAACAAGCTTGTATTCAGTGGATCATAATCAGGTTAGTACGACCACAAATATGTACCGTATTTTTCGGACTATAAGACGCACTTGAAATCATTATATTTGTTAAAATATCGGTAGTGCGTCTTATATTCCGGTGCGCCTTATGTATGAATGGTTGTGCTGAAGCCTAGTGACCTCGAATCAATTTCTATGTTCACAGTGCGCTGAAAAATCCATCAAAACGTTTTATTACGACTTTGATTGTCGAAGCATAATTGCTGGTCAGGAACCTCGTGGAGTCAGCTTTCTATGTTGTCTAGATAGACTTGTTTTGGGAGTGGCGAACTCTGTGCAGGAGCCAACTGATTCGAGGTTTCCTGGCGAAGATAAACCAACCAACTATTCAACTACCAACGCTGAGATCCCATACTGTGATATATGTGATAGTTACACCACCCGACAAACTCATTTGGTCCAACAATGCACCTTGCAAACACTGTCCAAAACTCGCACCTGTATCTCGCTTGAACACACGATCTGCGTTTCAAGACAATAGCGATGGCACGTGATATGGAGGTGAACGGCTTACGTGGAGGACCTTCTTGGTGCTTCCGTTTTAGAAAAAGGCGTCATCTCTCCATCCGTACAACATCTGTGTTTTAAGTGAACAATATTGACAGTTATTGTTAATGAGTTGAATTAAGTATGACCTATCCGACTATTTTGTTTCGCTTTATGCGCCTTATGAAATCAGATCGGTTCACTGATACTGCGCCTTATCGTCCAAAAAATATAGTAGGTCAAAAATGAACACGTGAATTGTAGGTGTCAATAAATCAAAATATCTCATCCATAAGGTTACGTGATTAACCCGACCTGTGTGGAGTCAGGGGGAATGGCGTGAAACCTCAAGCTACTTGTGTTAGTCTGGGGACAGGGTAAACAGAGCGTCTGCACAAAATGCTTCTGTGCACACAACTCCGGGTTATGGAGCCGAATTGCAATTGACTCTGCTGTCGACAGCAGACAGCATCTGACAGCTCTCGTGTGGCATCCTGGAACCCAGTATATCGGTTGGAATGAATCTGTTGAGTTTATTTTGTGGTTAAGATCCACTAAATTCGACAATACTGCACTTCTCACATCACTGTATAGCCAAGCGGCGCAATGCTCTCGAGCACTTACGGACAGTCGCCTGGTCGTTTATTTCAATATACATTGTTCGACACGAGTAAGAGAAATTGTACACACAGAAGGAGATTTGCGACCGGGTTATCCTCTCTCTGAGCTGCTGGCGTACAATTGGCGCTGAGGTGAAGCTTACACGTAAGCCGGCCGCAAAGTACGTTTTGGCAGTGGCTAGGGTACGCTGCGCTATCGCGTCAGCCTTAAACGGTAGCGACAGATTGTGATAACTAACTGAGTCATATGACCAGCATTAGTCGTCGATGGCGCGGCCCCGAACGTTGACATAACTCGCAATGAACTGGTAGATGCTAGGGCCGAGCAAGCAATTAACACCGGCAACGTTCGCCAATTACTACCAAAAGAAGGTAATAGTTAATAGGTTGCTGTTACAGGGAGATAGCTTACATACAACGTTCAAGCCGAGAGCAGTGGCGCAAGAGTGGATCGATCTACATTTGGAGATCGAACTCGAGTAGAGATAAAAACACGAATCTATGTGGGATCAGCGACAATTTGGATCATAAACTTGAATCGTCTGAGGTTTGTTAGTTAATACTAATTAGCATCTCCAATATTGTTGTGTTATTAGTTGCCTACAGCCTATTTATTGCGCCATGCTCTCATACAATAGAAATCCCTCGGTCCGACTGGTCTTGGCGTTCTCATTTCGTTATGGGTTGAACTGGTTGGAGGAGGCACAACTGTTTCAGGCAGATTATCCGTACATTCAGCGGCAACTACAACAATTGCCGATCCACTTGGTTCAACAGTAAGGGATTGAGCAAGAGGTGCCATCAGAGTAGCGGTTATCAACAGCCATTCTAAGCTTTGCAGAAGACTCCGTATGGGTAGGTGGAAACCGCCGATGTACACGTTTCCTCATCATTACTTCGGAACTAATCAAATGAGCTATACTTACGCGACCGAAAGAATTGCGAGACAACCGGGCTGTGAAAACAGAGTCGGCAACCACTCCAACATGGGAGACAGTTGTTGCCCACTGCTTCAAGCAAGATGAGTGTGGTAATAGGTCATGCACAACTGAAACAACCACGTTTTGAGACACCGACCAGAATTGACTAAATGATCTGAAGTGAACTTTAGTCACGAATCGAAGGACGGCAATACATGCGCTTCTGGTCGAAAGGCGGAAAAGGGTGTAGTTGGCCTTCGATAGTCCTAATGGTAGAGCACGAGGGAGTGTGGCAAGTTAGTTCAGTCCAGATATTTGACTCACAGCAAACACTAGAAACATTGACAGAAGTTGGTATAAAAAACATATGATAATAGCTTACCGCTAGCTTACCCACTACATGTCATTACATACCATACCAAATCCTGTCTTTTCAGCCTAATAGTCCCTTCCTTTATTATCTACTCCTGACGATACAAACATCCGTAAATTTTACATGTGAGTTGCGCGGGTCCAGGACAAGGAGAAGTAATCATGATCCGAAATGCTATCAATAAACTTTTCTTTAATGTTATGAAACGTGTTCACTATACAAATGATCCCTCCTACTTATGGGGCCGTGTACCGTCCGTCGGTAAATATACAAATTTATCTATTTAATTGTAATCCATGAACCAAGGTGCGCTGAATCCAGTTACTTTGTCAAAATAATAACAATAATAATATCAAAAACAAACTGAAGGGAATGAATGAGAAGTTAAATCGTCAGATGGAAGCCAATGGTCTGAAGTGAAGAATGCCAATGACCTGGTGAACGCGACATATCAGATAAGGTGTCCAAGCACCTAAGCTGCTGATCAAAGGGTTCTGGTTGGGGAACACGAAAAGTCTCGACCTGATTCGGTTTCTCGATGTCTTTTTGCCACACCATTGATCGAATGTTTGTCTAAGTGTGGTGTAATCCAAGCTACTATGGCGACCAGCCAAAATCATTCCCAACTTTTTCTCTTATAAGTAATGTCCCTATGCATGAAACTGTTTACGGCGAACACTTTGTCAGTCCCTTGAGTGGTCGCCTTAGACAAGTTTAGCAGAAATACACGCCTACTAAGCACATGAATGAGCCACCACAGATTCGGATTCAACAAATACTCCAATGAAGCACGTGGGCGTCTGTTAATTGACGACTCGAGAGCAAATAACGGATTTTCGAAGACAGGAACCGGATTTCCGATAAGTCATTCGCTAGTCTGATGTGCATAACCACCACGTCAACCATATACAGCTTAAAGCTATTCTAACCACTGTACAAAACTGCATTTTAGTAGGGATATAGTAAGAGTAGCCTTATAATCCTCACTGTTGGCGTGTTGAGGTATAAATGAATAGTCGACAAACTAATTCGCATGATCGACTGGTCAGTCTTCTCTAGCCAAGTCTCATGGCGCTTAAGCCATAGCAGTGGAACGTTCTGTGACCACATGACGATCCTCGTCCAACCCGATTACTATTACCTACACCAGCAGTAAAATGTAATTGAGACACTCCACACGTTTTTCATACATTGTTGGTCTGCATGCAGTTCATCCACGGTTAACAATGTTAACAAGTGTCTCGAGCACTACATTGCGGCACAGCGGTTCAAGCGTCCTCATATCACCCTAGTTTTCTAGTGAACGGACCAGGAAATTCATGTGGATGATTTAATAACGTGTAAACAGCTTTTAACTTTTAGTATCTCAAATCTGAACAAGCCGTTACGGTAACAAAAGCCGAATTCTTTTTACAGAATCAATACAATCAACGAACTGTGGCCGAACAAGCACAAGAAACGAGGGAGTGGATTGCCAAGATTATGGGACCGGCTGACCGATGGAACTGTTGACGTTCGAGAGGTTGCTTCCAGTTCCCCTCAACTTTCACGTTCTGCTCCATTCATTTGAAGTTTCTAACATTGGTGATCATGATAAAAAGAACGAAGCGAAATTTCACGAAAAAGTTGATTCATGTAAGCGATTGTCGTGCAGACAGATGATCAGCTAGTGAAAACAAACGATGATGTGGTTCACCGGTCGACGGCACGTGATCGGAGCGCATGATGCAGAGATAAGCAGACTGATCGTGCCTACATAGGCGTGCCTCGCATTGCCCGAGAATAAATAACTTATCTATTTACAACCAAAAGGAAATGGGTTCCAACATCGGTCACCGCTAGCTGCATGGTGTACTGGGAAGTCTCGAACTAATGTTCTTAACAGAACTCCACATCATTACATTTGCAGTTACCATTGGGCTATCAGAGCAGCCAGCCACTTGCACAAGGAAGCAAGGAGGAGTAGAAGTGAAGTGTGGAGCAGAGTTTTCATAGGTTTAACCGCGGCGCTTTGATTGATCAACTATAACCCTATGCTCGTTTCAAAACGATTAGGAGGCTAAAATACAAACATATGAACTGTGCTACGGGGTATTCTATGAAAAATAGTGGACATGTTTTCGGTTTCTTTCTACTTGGCAAGGTTTCTGCTAACAGTATGCTACCAGAATATGGGAAAACTCTAGTAATGCATGCCGTTAGATTTTTTCATCGCATTTAGTAAAGCAAGACAGCAATGGCTTCCCTAGGAGTCGGAGATCACTGCATATGGCCCCAAATAGTGTAGAGTAGGTTCGATCTTCAAAGCGATAGATCCACCAAAGGGTGTGTATCCGGCCGTCAGGAAATATCCCTATTTATTTGTTTCTTTAGGTCAATTATGAAGAAAAAAAGGCGATTGGAGGTCAACCAAAGAGTACCATAATAACGTGGAATTACGTTGACGTGATCACTGGTATATACAAACAAAATAGAAGAAAAGCCACGTTATCGATGTCAACGAGTACCATTTGGTACATAAAAGAGCAAGCAATGGGGGGTTCGTAGTCACGAGTAGGTACGAAACACAGGCCGTATAGTAGATATGAACACATAAAAGCAATCCTATGAGGCCAGTTCGGTCAAACCATTGTTGCGCGATGAACAGCAGTGCGCCTACACATCGCGTGAGTGCCTTTTTCCGACTAAAAGTACCACAAGGCGCAACTGGAACAGCCGTGTACACAAACATGAAGTTCAGGAGGAGAGAAAGAAATACTCGGGGGAATGATGGATCGAGTGTCCGCATCAACACACACGGTATATTAAAGCTAATAATGGGTCATTAAACAAGAGAAACGACAAGTGATTGACGAAAACGCCAATCTAAACGAAACGTATGGAGAAGTGACGGAAACAAGAAACTGGAAGTGTGCGAAAAACAATTAACTCGGGTGTGGTTGTTCCCAGTTGCGTGATAAACCAAGGGGTGAGATCATACGTCTCAATGAATAGAAAGACGTCGGTAAATTGTATGATCCAACGGCACTTGCATGTCAGAGAAGCCATGCTGTATAACGGTGGGCTGTTTCCGGATTGAAAAACATAGAAAGGAATTTTCCGACGGCATTTAACAGATCGAATGACCTGAAGGCCCACCGGGAGCAGTCGCGGGCGGCATAACTGGAGCAACCGGACGGCGGGAAAACGGTGAATTATCTGGGTTGCCAGTGGAGGCGCAAGAACCAACGCTTGTCGCGATAGACGATGTGAACTTAGGCAGTGCAAGATGACTATGGGGTGGGGCGATGACAGTTTGACTATTGGATACACTATTGGAAGACGACGCGAGCGAAGGGGTTGCATTAGAGACTGTTGGTGGGTCAGCTGGATCGGGCGGTACTAAGAGGTAGGTGATCAAATATTCCGGATACGCTTGCTCCCCACGATAAATAACATATTCGGCGAAATTGAGACCCCCGGTACTAGGCCGTCCAACAATGGAATGGTGACCTGGTGGGGCATGAGCAACTTTCATCGCATTGAATTGAATAAAAGATCGCCCCAAAGCCACACGGCACAGAAGCAGCTGTCTTGGACAGAGATAACAAGACCGTGATTTGTGGGTTGGACAACCAGAACCGCCGCCGATGCCGTAGACGTACTAAAAAAGACAACAATATGTGTTGGGTTAAGGAGGAAAAATAAACCGTTGTATTATTGCATACCATTCAAGGTGGCTGGGTAAGGTGCCATTTTTATGGAAAGTAAGGCGCAAGCGTTTGAAGAATGATATGACCACTGTGGTTCATAGAGAAATAGGTGCCAGATACATGGCACTTGAAAGCTAACAATGTTATGACGAGGTGAGGTAACAATAACTACAATATCTTAAAAATAGATGGAACAAGGGTAGTCACAGCTCTGAGGGCGACCCTGTCCTCCGCACGTTCATAACATGCATAAAACAGTGGAGGATGAGCCGCAATATATCGCAGTTACATATCAGTCATGGTGGTGGCTCAATGGCATAAATCGCTGACTAGTAAGATTGTGGGATCGGATCCGGAGGGTGGGCGCTACTGAGGAGTCTCAATGGGACAAAACGACTGTGTAGCATTTTCCGGGATGTGTGGATGCTGTATTGTGGAGCCAGGCTGCGACAAACCTTAACAAAAACAAAGTAAATCCCATTGTTATTCCTCAAATAATTGAAAAAGCGACGGTGTTGAAAAAAGTACAACTAACTTGGTTCGATTTGGATGAATTTTCAGCAAAGTAAATTCCAGCGCCGAACATTCCACCGATGTAAGCATGACGTTCATCGAATCCCTTCATCACGATGGCTTGTAGAAAGGGTGAGCCGTGAAAGAGAAGGCGTTCATTGTAGTGTCCGTTATTGTCCTCGCTGATTTCGGCACAACGATGCACATAACGGTCCCACAAACGTCGATTTCGAATGCGAGCGACTTTGAGTAGCTGGTAGCGCTTAAAGACACCGCCACAGTTATCTCGATGTTCCCTGATGGTGCTTTGGACCTGCGTGGAAAGAATAAGAGTGCATGGACGAGTTAGAAAATGAGAAAGAATATCGCGCGACACATGGTGTGGTTATCGGATTAGTGACCAAACTAGGCTAGTTAACATTGAAATCCAGGCTTAAAGCTGCTCGCGCAGGCTGTCGGGGTCATCCAATGAAGCCCACTTTAAAAATTGGACAGAAAGGGATCACAGAGGAAAGCATTGCAGTGGCCAGTCAATCATGAACGTGGTCAATGGCGTATTCCGGTAGTTCAAGTTTCATCCATGGGCATTTGTAATACATGCCGTACCGACGGTTCGCTGTCACGCAACCACCACCAGTCGCGCGTGGGCTAAGGATACTGTAAGGGTCACCTGGTACCTACGCACGCTGGAATCCGTGACCTCTGGATCGTAAAGCAGATGACTTGTCCTTATAGCCAGGTGTCAATTCGATTAAAAGTTGTGCGTCTCTCTTAGTGAAAGTGAAGAAATAGTAGAAGTTTGCTCTGGTAAACGATTAGGGTTCGATCAGGGTAGATTTGTCAGCACAAATATCACAGAAGATGAAGCCCAACACGCGGATTCCTAAGAAGGCGAAGAAGAGCGTATAATGAAGAATTCAAAAAGCTAGTAAATGCTTAGGTACAGCGTGTGGCACATAAAACTTTGCGAGTGAGTCGACGAAACGCAGTCAATTCACCCAAACGTCCAGTACTCTGCCTTGAGTACCTGACGTGTTTTTGGACTGTGATGTGCGACCTGGATTGCGAAATCGGGTAACTATGAAGTGAATCTCGATCATTTCAATCACAGGGACCACATCCGAAGTGGATAGTTTGCTGTGTTGCCTAAATCCAGCACTGCATCCCACAACCATTGTGAAAAGCCTTGACTGCGGATGACAATGGCAAAGTGGGAAAAGCATCCAACCTGATGAACCCAAACAACGACGAAACCCATGGTTGGAAGAGAACGGCACAAAACAATCTCAGGGGATCGTTATTGTTATCAGCGTCGTGAATTGTTGATAAATATTCCATCAGAAAATGAAAAAAGAATGGAGATAACTTCGTAGCGCGCGTGCGGATGGATTGAGGCACGCAATCTCAATTTAAACAGTTTCACTATGAAGACCGATCAATTCCGCCTCTGGGATCGCATCTGAAGCAGAGAAATGTTGGGCGTTGACCGCTCGCGACAGAAGTACATCATGAAGTTACTCCTAAAACTGTATGATAAACGGGATATCGCAAGTTAGATGGTTAGGTCGCGCAAAATCTGAATGAACTACAGCAATCTTAGACCAAGTCTAAAACTGTGCTGGGTGGTCAGAGAATCTGCTGTGCATGTGTACTACGACATCAATATGGATAGTAGTTTACGACCAGCCTCAGCCAAGTCGATTACATCGAGAGCTGGCCGATATGCGCCTTTGCTAGCTCTCGACACTGAACTCTACGACTGGGCTCGGATAGTTCAGGTAGAGGGTAACAGCTAAATTGCAACCTTAAAGACAAAGATTTTAGCTGGTCACCACCATTACACTATGGAGTGCTGCAGGTAATGTCTGGGAACTCATTGCTGGTTGTATGGAGTAAGTACCGAGCGCTGAACCGTGGAACGCAATCGCAACAGCGCGTCCCGGTTTCCACATGTATTTTTTCAAAATAGTGTTGCTCTAGGACTTAAGTGATAAAGTGATAAGGAGTCTGTCAGTAATTCTATAGTCCAGCGTTCAGCCCGGTTAGTTCTTTGAAGATTAAGCACAAGAACGTAGTCTGCAGCGTTTGAAGCGAGCAGTACAGAATATCAATCTAGATCCAAACTGTTCGGCACTGGTAAGAGCCGTAGCCGCATTATGAGTTAAGGCCAATAAGTAGCGTGCAAGGAAACGTCTGTTCGTAGCTGATCTTAAGACAGGAATCATGCTTGAAGATCTCAAGGAAAAAATCATATGCGACGTCTGAGGAATATTGATCAGTCGTCGAGAATAAAGTGCAGGGGCGAGGCAAAGTAAATTTGAAATGCATACAACTGTTGCTTCTGGATTTTGAAAGGGAAAAAGAAACGGTGGAAACCAGGAAAGTGCAGTGACTAATGACCTAATGCACCCGGGTTCGAGCAGCGGCGATTTCCATAAACATCAAGATGACGTGAAGGTACTCCACAATGCTAGCAAGTGTCAGGAGTTCAGAAGTACAAGGCACTGCTTGTGATGTGAAGGCCGCAAGTTATCCAACAGTGACATGGCTTCATTCGATTATGCGATGACCAGCTTCTAAAGGAATAAGCACCGATTTGCAGCCATATCCGTGTGATTCTGGCGAAAGAACACATTAAGTAAATAAATAGTTTTATTCTTGGTGAAACGAGACACAAGACAGACATGATCAAATGGTTGATAGAGCTACAAAAACACTGTAAGCGTATATACACCAAACGGTAGGGGTAAGTGTTGGCAAAAAAGCTGGTACGAAAAATTATTCGTATTTTCCGCATAGGAATGTTGTAAAAATGATGGGCATGTTCATTAGTGTCAGAGAAAACGCGCAGAAGCACGGTAAAATCCATAAGTGTTTCTGTAACGGAAAAGCATGGTGTGGGATGGGGTTGGATGGTTCCGGACATTGAGCTCCATTTTTCCTTTGGCATAGGAACCCGGGAGAATATTTGATAAACACCGTTGAACGAAAGTTGTAGCTTCTGGGTTATATGCAATGGCACGGGTTCATTTGTTCATATGCCGTTATGGTCACAAATTTCGCATACTGAGTTCATTATCAGAGTGAAGCAGTGGGCAGTGATTTTATTTTGGTGGCGAGTCACATCCGCCACGTCGCAGTCTTGTTAAACAGATATATCTGGCTTTTTATAGGGAGAACGCTTGCCAGGCGAAAACCCACCGCGCCCTGGAACACTGCCATAGGTAACATTTTGCACAGTAATGTGTCACTGGCAACGTTTCTTTAAGACCGATTATTCGCACGGTTAACCGCAGTCATACTACACCCAATTTCCCAGTTGACTGATCAAAAAGGTTAATCAGGATTCACCAGTGACGGCTGAAGCTAGCGGTACTGGACGAAGATGAGATAGAGCTATGGAGAGTAGGATGCGGGGTTGAAGTGAGTAAGAATCTCAAAATAATGGAGGATAGATAGTTCAGTTGCGGTATCAATGTTCACACCGATGAGTTTAAAAAATTTGAATGTGAAGATGTCCGAAATCGGATGATAACAGTAGAGCTCAGTACAATCACTCAGTAGGTGGCAAATCCAGTGCAACCATGTCTGTTCAAAGAGCTCCAACCTAGTAAGAAGTGTACCCCTCGGTTTCGGTACCAAGGGATTGTTGACGATTACAACTCGAGCGAATAACAAGAAATCATGTAAGCAAAAAAGAGAAGAGTGGAGCAAGCGAATAACTTACGTTGACAAAAGACATTTTGATTTGGGAGTGCTACAGGAAGTCGCTTGGTCACTGTGTGAAATCAGTAAACTGCAAAACGGAATAGTGGACAATAATGAAAGATAGCCGTCGGATACTCAGTGCCTACGATACAACACCGTACGCGTTAAAAAAGCTTGAAGCGTTTTTTAGCGAGCGGTAACCGCTAAAAAACTAGTTACTACCGCAATGCGATCAGAAAAAGTGCGGGGGAAAACCGGAAAACTTGCAAAGATGAATCAAGCCAAAGAAGTGTTTCCGCGTAGGAAGCGAAAAACAGAAATCACGCATGTGCAGTGAGTCTGGCACTGAGAGTAAGCAACACACATGGTCCCAGTTAGCAAAGAAGTGGTGAAAGTGATAAATTACCTGCTCTTCGACTGCACGGAATTCGGGGTCAGTGGGCTCCAACTCGATTATCACCGTTTGCTTGGCGGAACCTGGAGGAAAGAACATAGGACTCGAGGGAGTCGCCTCTGAGACACCAACACCTTGCGAGTGAGGCATGCCAGCTACCGAAAAGTTCGAACTGGTAGGGTCCGCAGCGTGTAACAGTGGATACGCTGGAGCCGACGAGTTAGGTGCTGGGTTAACGGAGTCTGAAATCGATAGCGAACACATCTGAGAAGCTAAGAGTGTCGCACTTGAGAGAGGGGTTGATTCGGGAGAAACAAAGGTATCGGATGGCACTCGCCATCGTTGCAGTCCGCGGATTAGTTTGTGTCGATGGCCGTAAACACTGATACCGAGTTCCTTCAACTCGGAGTGCCCCATTTCGGAGAGGATATCCATAGTAACCTATGAAAAATAGATGGAAATGAGATGAGCAAATAATGGTAAAGAGGCCGAGTACAAAACCAGCGTTCGACTTCCAAGGTCAAACGAGAATTAAGGTCAGGACGAGCTAGCCTCCAGAATGATTATGGATGCGGATAAAAGCTGAAAATCCAGCCACAAAGGCACAAAAGTTACGGAACCTAATAAAAATGATATAAAAGTAAAGCCAGAAAGTACACCGAAGTCTATGCGTTTTATACATTCACGTTCCCGTCAGGAAGAGGGTCTAATGCAAGTTTCCCTCCCGTTTGCTTACCAATAGCAGTGTGCGACAAGGCTATTCTGTCCCCGTTCTTCAAGTTTTCAATCAATACCTCCTGTCGAGAGCCATAGAATCCCCAAATTTTGGCTTAGAGCTACTACAGAGTGAGTGCGTCACCGATTGAGATTATGCTTTACCCGATGACGACCTACAAAGTTTGCAACTCAATCCGAGCTACTTATCAGTAGACGGATTTAGTAAGTCGTAAATTATACCCATGGAAATGCAAGAACACAATTTTGCGAAGAGTACTCTTTTCGATAAATCACCTCAGGCATTTGAGATTATAAAATGGAAATGTAGAACACAAAAAGCTGATGAAGTCAAAGAGGTGGGAATAGTGGAATCACGACAAACAGAAACTCAAAAGTCTTGATCAATAAAGTCCATCACTACCAACACATGTGTCAGAGCATGTGTTGGTTGATGGGCGGAATGCCAAGAGTATTATCCAACCACTGTAGGTGCACGAAGTGATAAAAGTAGGTAAGCCAACTAGGGCCAAGGTAGAAGAAGCCCTTGCAGCAAAGCCTTCTGTTTGCATAATTCCGGTTGAATTATTCTAATCGCGATCGTTTCGGCCGTCCTTAAGATTTGCTTCCTAAGATCTTTAGTGTACCGTGGCTGTACTACATAAAGTGCTTGGAAAGCATCAGCGGTCCTAATTCGGTGTCCGCTTTCCACCAGATGATCCAGCATGGATCTGTTGGGGCGACTGACGATGCGTTTCCCCAAAGCCGCTGGGCGGTGCTCCGCAATGCGTTTAGACAAACGCCTGGTTGTGTGTCCCACGTACCTCGCACCACAGGCGCAGGTAAACTGACATAAGATGTAAGACTGGGACTGAAGCGGAAGTCCGTCTTTGACGTGTTGGGCTATAAAGGGAGCTGTTTCCGTAAGGACGTGTGGGCATGCGGCCGGGAAGGTTCGAGCCACTGCACTGGAAATTCCTCTGGTCAACAGATCAAAGGCAACCTCGCCTTTAAAGGGAACTGATAGAAACACGGATATCACGGTTTACCGCATACTTTTTGATGAATGGTGTCGGGTAACCGTTATCTTGCAGCGTTTTGAGAATAAGGCTTTTCGGCCTCTAGCGTCTCTTGGCTGCACCTTTTCATAGCACGGAAATACAAGTAGGGAACAAGATTGCGTTTGTACCTCAAGGGTACAAAGCTCAGAAAATGTGTATATTGGCCTACCTAGGTGGCCTTCCGGAATACACTTCTTTCCAATGAATCGTCATTTCATCGGCTTAGCAACACGTTCAAGAAGGCTAGCTTACCATCTCTTTCGGTTTCGATAGTGAATTTCAACGATGGATGGACACCGTCTAACTGGCTTAACAGGTTGGAAACATTGGTGTTTGAACCGCAGGTTATAAACGACAAAGTTATATAACGACAACAGAAATCAAACGAAGTGATGATGGGTCGTATAACTTCACGCTTAATCATAGCGAGAAAAATATTAGCAAGGAGTGGTAATAGGAGGAACCCCATCGCGACACCGTCAATCTGACTGTAGTAGACTCCATAAAATAAAAATTGTCGGTTGAACGTACACCGTAAAATTGATTTCTTCAGCTTTCTCACCGGAATACCCACATCTATGTTCTTTTCGTTCACGTAATCATATACAAAATCGACAGTTTCCATCGATGGAACATTCGTAAAAAGTGGTTCAACGTCCAGAGAGAGCATCAGTTTGTCATTTACTTGCGTACTGGTTCGAGCACACATGCAAGCCATTTCGCAACCGAGTGAGTAGCCGAGGTTGACATGTCGATTATCGGACGCAGAGGGACTTGTGGTTTATGCATTTTAGGTAGTCCATAAAGACGTGGAGGATGGGAACCCATCAGCATTAGCTGTTCCAGTAGCACGCTATTTATTTGGTTCATACGCTTCAGCTTCTACAACACTTGAGTGATTTTAAGCTCATCCTGCGTGATTTTATCTTTCTGTACCTTTTAATGTTCTCTACACAGTTTCCTGTTTTGTCAGTTTGTTTTACTAAGGGGGAAGTGAATCACCGCGACATGCAAATACAAGTCCGTCAATGATGTCGGTCTTGAGAAATAACTTCCACGGTCTTCAACCAGCGACACTACGTATCGCTGGAACCCCAACCAGGGAGATCAGAACAACCGACCGAGGTTAACTGCTATGTCAGCTGTTGCATGCCACGGTGCCAGTTCCTTCAGGCCTGCCCAGCAACTGCGAACAATGCACCACGCGGAAGGCGTTAAGCGAGCATGCGTAACACATGACCAAGCAATCGTAATTGGTGCAGCGAAACAATCTCGTCGAGGGAGTGGCTGTCTCCCCTTGAAACGCGCTGTCTAACAGCCGCATTGCTTACGTGGTGCCGCCACCACACACGAGCAATGGACCGCAAACAACGGTGCTCAAAGATAGACAGCAGGCGCAGGTCAACAGTTCGAACAAGCCATGTCTCGCAACAGTAGAGCGCGAGCATTTGCACAATAAACCCACCCATTGATGGACAGACGAATGTCATGGCGGCACCACAAGTGCGTCAACTTAAAGAAAGCGAGACGAGCTCTTAAGATACGCATCGAAATCTCGTCTCTAACAGCCACACCAGCAGTGATGCAACTTACTAGGTAGATGAAACACTCAACCTCCAGTGTCTCGCCACCGAGAGTGAGCGGAGGTACAGGCATCTGAAAATCTGGAAAAAGTGCTTTGCACTTAGCTGGAGAAAAGTTACCGCATACTTTGACGCTTCAATCGCTAAGCGGTTGTGTGCAAGTTGGACGGAGTAAGCAACGAGCGTGTTAGACACCTTGTTTACGGCACAGGAAAAGGAAAGGAACCGATCGGCACCGTTATTTCACGCACCAGGCTCCGATGGCTCGGCCACGTGTTACGCATGCCAGCCCATCGACTCCTCGCGACGTGCGTTGCTTACGCGATAACTTGGTCGAGAGGAATGAAGGCCCTTACTTCGTAGCTGGCCTCGGTTGGAGCATTTCGTCCCCCTGGTTGGGGTCCGAAAGACGGTGAACACACACTTGCTGATATGGCTAGGAGCTGACCTCAATGTCGTTCGTGCTGTGAGTTTCTTTGTCCAACCCCATCCCCCTTAGGCTCCCACTCCAACCACGACCTCACTATTTAGCCTTATATAATTTTGAATAGTAATTTTTTTGATGCACAGTAGCCGGCTGGTGGCTTACAGGAACGATGCCCATCCGTTAGCGGTAGCTCATCTGGCTTGCATCTGTTACATTTTTGCCCTTTTTTCTTTTACGTATTGCGGCACAGTAGCTGAGGTGTTTCCCCCCTCTACTTAACGTGTATGATGATGATGACGAAGATGGACGGCCTGTGGACCACCACCCAGCAAAACGATATCATCAGCGTAGTTCAAAACAACTACTCGACACTCTAGGAGGAGCTCAACAAGAGCGCTCAATGAGTCTTCTAGAGCATCTGTGAGAACATTCACAATGGTAAAATTGTAGAGGGATGGGGAGATAGGGCACCCCTGTCGAGTCCCACCGGTGACAACAAAGGAGGGCGAAAGCTTGTCATAAGCCCTAACTCTACCCGAGGTCAGACAGTACATAGTAAGCAGTACGGAAACGAACCTCGCGGGGACACCATTCCTCAACAAAGAGTGTCACAATGCAGTCCTGTCGGTAGTACGGACACCAAGGAACACGACAATCGTTGGTTTTTGGTACATATGGCGAAGTTCGAGGATCTGGAGGGTGGTGAGAATTTTATCGATGCAGCCGTAACTAGGGCGGAACCCAGCCTGTTCTTTCCGCTGTAGCGATTCGTGTATTGGGGATAGCTTGCGAAGCATGGTGGACACCAAAAGTTTGTAGACAACGGGAGCCAAACTTACACCATTGTAGTTGGGGCACAATGTGCGCAGGCCCTTCTTGAAAATGGGTACGACGATCGACTCACTCCAGCACGACAGAACGTCCTCTCTTGACCAGACTTCCGAGTACAAAGCGGTGAGTTCTTGAACCAGCGAATGGCCACCACCATGTTTAAAGAGAGCAGGAGGTAAACCATCAAGGACAGTTGCTTTATGACGCTTCAGTAGGCGGAGTTCATGCCAGATTTCCCGGTGAGAGGGAGGATCTGTGGGGACAGAGCACTCAGCACTAGTGCACGCTTCAGAGGAAGTAGCTGAGGCTGGTGGCCAAAAAACTGAGCCAAAATGTTCAGCCCATCATTCCAACCACCGTTGAAGATTAGTGATCAGTGAGCCACCCCTTCGCAGATTATTTCGCGCACTCCAGATCGAAAACCTTCGGTGATTCGAATAAGATGGAAGAGTTTTCTGGTATTGACAGAGACTAGCAAGTTTCATCTCTCTAGCACATTAACAACACCAGGTTTCACGGTCCTTTTGCAACCTTCTTCTTGATCCAGGGGGTCAACGTTCGTCACTACAGATGTCGTCGAGCGGGACCGAGTGGGATCAGTCAATCAGCGACAATTAGGTAGCGGCGATCGAGATTTTCCGAGGCGGACAAGTAACTCCATAACTATCATATACTGGCAGTAACTAAGGTATCTTTGATGCAAAGCCATTATGAATCCAGACCAACAGCAAAAGCTGGGACAAGCAACGTCGACAGAGGATCTCGGTAATTAGATAACATCGTAAAATCTTGCAGATTTTTGACGTTCAGCCGGCAGTGCGGATGCCTGGGTGATCCTCCGAAACGCATGCAAACCCTAGCATGAACCAATGCGTGATCGGAGTCAAGACAAGTTGACTAGTACGATAGGCAGTCTGATACACTTCAGTGACATCTGTAGCTTACTGCTATGTGGTCAAGTTGAGAACACGCGTTTGAGAAGGCGGGCGCCAGGTAGTAGTCTGTCACTTCGAGTGTTGAAAACTGGTGCTCGAAAGAAACAAATGATGATAAAAACAAAGAGTCAGTAGTCTGTCTCCAATGTCCGATCGACTACCACCGAGATCAAAACTACCCCCAATATGGTGCTAGCATATTGGCATGTGGCTCACTGGGGCATTAAAATCTCGGGCAAGAATGACAATATCAGACTTATTGAAAGAACGCAGGTCATGTAGTAGTTGATAAAAGCAAGCCTTGACTGTATCCAGGATGCAGTCTGCAGTAGGGTAGGCACGTTTAACATCTCGTTGCTTAGTTAACTTACATGAACCTCGTAGTTTGACCGCACAGCCGATTGGGATCCAGTCAAGCAGAGAGGTCTCAGCTCTGTCATTCAGAGCAACCCCAACACAAGCCTGGCCAGAAGCAGCAGCCTCTGGGCAACCGGAAAGGCGCAAATGGGATTCGATGTCAGGGTTTAAGGTACAAAGTAGTGAACAAAACGCCACCGGTTTTAGTTATGAGCGAACAGCCATTGGAATTGGTGGATCAGTTAGAGTACCTAGGTAGTTGTCACTTCTGAGATTAATCGATAAGTATACGCGTTTGGTCTGATTGAGGGGAGGTCAAGTGAAGTGGCGTGACTGCCACTGTTAGTCGCGTTGATCTGAGGCCAAGGCAAGGTTAAAGTATGGACGAGTTTTTTCTGTGCACATAGGTCCGGGTTATAGGGCCGAATTGCGATCGCCTCTGCTGTCGACAGCAGGCGACATCTGACTGCCCGTGTGTAATGTCCGGGGACACAGTAGATCAGTGTGAATGCGTCACGCGGATCGATTTGATGATCGGAGTCTACTAAGTGCACCAATACTGCACTCGTTACATTATTCCTCGCGCCGCTGTAGAGCCAACCTGAGCAATGCTTCGTGTATCATCAAGGCCCATGTGGCTTTCAGTAGCTCAACCATCCATGGAGACGGCAGAATATCGGCCTGTCGGTGAAAGATGGGGTGAACAATGCTGCGATAATAGAGTTACTGTATGGATCAGAGATCAAGCCAGTTGCAGACATCAAACGATTGGCTGTGTTTGATCATCGGTGATTGAGGAATATTGTTCACATCTGGTAGGAACACCTGTTGTGGTCCGTCAGTTGGCGTTTGCCAAGAAACCTGCTGGTAATTGACCGGAGTGTTTGTTGAATCTTAATCATCTATGTTGACTAGGTCATGTCCTCTGTATGCCGGTTGATTGACTTCTTCAACCCGCAGTATACGCAGTTACCGTACCTTGTTGGGTGAAGCCGCAAGGTGGTCAATCAATGACGTGGCATAAACGCGCGAATAAATTCGACTGAGAGACTCAGTCATGCTGATGCGCGTCCTGTTCGTGGATGAATGTCTCCAAGTGGTCTACATCAGTGGCTGGGGACTCTACCGGACACTGCACAGTCGCGCAATCGATGGCGCCTCTGCACACGGTTTCATACATTTAGCTGTTAATTTTCACGCACTCACTTCTTGATTCCGTTTTCGTTGTGTTCTATTTATGTGCAACCTCATAATCTTAACTTTGCTGGTTACTGTTAATGTGGCGACACGAATCGCGGTAACCGGACCTCGATGCTCGGATCATAGCTGTTCAACTAAGCGGAACTGAAATGAAATGGATTTCTTTAAAGAGGTTGTTAGATAAGTCTGACGTTGGCCGAATCCTACAGTGCTGACTGGAACCGAGATAAGTAATGGAGAAACATGCCGCTTCAAATTCGTAACAAACCAATGAGCTTCCTACACGTCTGTACGATGGGAAATTGGAGTGAACAGAGCTGAAGGCACTGGTTGCATTCGAATGATTCGTCAACTGACAGTTCAAACCCGACCAGGTAGACTCCATGGACACAAAAATCACCGTGTAAAGGTCATCTGATAACAGCAGACGAAATTGATAAGGTCGAGATCCGGTGAGATGCAATAAACAACGGTGAATGCCTTTCTCTGGTATGACATGCATTCCGTTGTTAGAACAGTAATTTGGATCCGCTGGTTCTCACTCGCGTTACGCGCAGTGCCAAACAGACAGTTCACATTAATTCAAGACGACAACACCCTCCGTCAACGGTCGAAGCGGGACAAAGTAGGCCTCTCGGTTATTAGCTATTTGCGTTTATTGTGGGATACCGTAGTGCAAGTTTCATAGGTCTCAAAGACAACTTTACTGACTGCGCAAAAACCGTGTTAATAAATTAATCTAACGTAGCAATCAGATTCTATAACAGCCTGAGCAACTTGATTGGCAGTTGGATCGGTTTACTGAAATAATGTTCATAAAGATGTGGGAAAGGGAAGGTAGGAAAAGAATGAAAAGCACGAAAGAACTGAGTGCTTCTAACATGACATGGGTCTGATAACCTATGTTTAATTACTCCCTATGAACCGTGTTATTGCAAACAAAACAAGCTTGAGGAACAACGAAGCATATCGAGAGGAGCAAAAGCAAATGCATTTGAACGCTCACCTCTTCCTTGTAGAATAATTCTATGTACATTTGTAGGTCTAATGAGGTCAAAAAATTGGCCACCGTGACCTTGGACTGATTGCAGTTTAGGATAGCAGAGCCACAAACTGATGAGGCATCGTTGCTAGGGAACGAGAAAGCGGCAGCACGATGGGCGGAACTGTTAGAGGCGGTCGAAGAGAGTAGGGTAGCATTAGGACCAGCGGCTACTGAGGAAAGCGCGGCCTCTTGCCCTTGTCCTTCTATTCGCGGTCCGGTGATTTGATCTGTTGACCTAACTTGATCAACGCCGGAAACACCTGAGTCCAGTGGTAAAGAAGCGATGGAAGATTGATCCGGGCAATAGACAGCATTCTTTTTGACTACAGGAACATTGAAATTGGTCTGCAGCATTGCATCCAACAAAAGAGATTTGACATCATCGGCAGTTGCAAGATCGAGTGGTATTTGATCTGCAAACGAAGAGATATCAGTAATCCAAAGTCATCAGAGATCACGATGGTGGGCGAAACTGGTGGTAATCAAAATACTTTATCGAATTCAAATCAACGACGGAGGCCGTAAGAAGAGAATGGAATAGCACGACCATTTTTAACTCACGCATCCTGTTAAGGCCGCTTATTGTCACGCATGAGCACCAGGTAATTAAGCGTGGTCTGCGTGCCAAAAGCGCAATCCGATTGATAATTTACAAGTGACGCGTACAAAGAGTTTAAACAAGATGAAACAACGATGCGGCTCACATGTAAATGCTGAGAACTACATGAGATTGTAGGAAAGGGTGATGAAGTAAAAATTCCATAAGAGTAGCGTAGGACAGAAACAGATGCTGACACCATGTAAGAGCATTGCTAACACATTCTCAACCCGAATCAGTGGGCTCTAACTGTTCAGGAACGGAATGAAATTACTCCATGGACAGTCTACGGTGCAGAACAGACAAGCTGAGATACCGACTGCCATAATGCCATCAACAACAGCTAGCTTAAAGGTAAGGCTGTGTATACACGTACATGACTTAGCGTATTTAAACCGAAAGATGGAATATCATCCATACAATTTATGGTTCGAAAACGGCCCTCTAATAGGATGCCATTGCTCGTTTGGCCTAGTTGTAGACCTCGAAGTAGCAGCTTTAATAGCCATCGTTGTCACTCTGGTCTGGCAGCTCATCGGCATGGACAACTCAGATCATATCCATTGCGTGACATAACACTCAAAAGTAAAGCATCGCTGTTTGTGATGAAGCGTGAAATGCGGTTCACTCGTGGGTACTAAGAAGTACTGGTATAACTATGATCGCTGAAAGGAAGAAGAAAGGCATCAGCAGTACGCTGGTACGCAGTAATGACGATTCTCTGCCGGGCAACTACTATCGGTCGCAGACTCGAACTAGAGCCCTCAGATTACAAAGCAGGTTTGTGATCTTTAAGGTTGCGAGCCGGTACTATGAGAGCTGGGGCAGCAATAGTTATCTGTAACATGTAGATTTTATTTCAACGAACCCATCAGTGATGGGATTTCAGGAAAGTTTGTACTTTGCATGAATCAATGTATTGTTTAAGCTAACATGGATGTCACAAATGAAGTGTATTAACAGAGCACTACATGTTTGCGTAAGAATATACTACATTTGAAGAAGACCAGGATTCACAGGACAAGCACAGTGCGCCATCCATAATACGATCGTACCTACGCACTTTTGTGTGGGTGCAGCAAACAATCTGTTTTGTAACATGGCATTCCTACCAGACTTGTCGATCGGCACAGTCCAGAAAACAGTCGACTGCAACCTAAATGGTAATTGAATCAAAAAAAGTCGACTGATGTGTGTGTGATGACTAAGCGAAAGAAGCAAACAGCAGGGTTGCAAATGAAACATGTTCAAACGCAACGCGAATGTGTGCCATGATGCTGAGGATTGATTTAGCTTTACCAGTGCATGAATGAGTGACAAGTCATTCTGTAAGTCAATAAAGCAACGGTGTCGTAAAATGCGAGCTCGGAACAGCGGACTGCGAGATTCTTACTAAGCTATCGGCCCGGATCTGCGAGGCATTAGGCTTCATTTAGGGCAATCAATTGAACTGATATAGCTGCATGGAACTAGAAGATAGAAAAGGTATTTTATCACAATCAGTGCAGGGTAGGTGAAGACGAGAGAGTGAGAAGCTCTAAAAATGGAACCCAATGAGTAAATAAGAATCAGAGAAAAACAGCATGCGGCGGTTGGAAGATCAGGTGCACACGGGAAGTGAATTACATACTGAACACTCTTATTCCTAAGGAAACGATAAATGGCTGTCTTGTATGTCCAGGGAGGGGGCTATCGAAAATGTCTCAAACACCGAATAGACTTTGTGAAACAAAACAAGGGTAAAATTAAGGTGGGCGCAGACATTTGCGATGAGCGAGTGGACATGGAGGAAGATGACTTACTTTCCTGATTCCTTATGGATGGATCCGCCCCGTGAGCGAGTAACAGGGCACACAGTTGTGTGCGGCCCTTTTGGGCAGCTTCGTGAAGCGGAGTGTAGCCCCACTTGTCTACTGCATTCACGTAAGTACCGTAACGTATCAGTAGGACAGCGACGTCCACGTGTCCGTAGGAACTGGCGTTGTGCAGTGGGATAAGGCCACCCTTGTCTTTCGCATTCACATCGGCGCCTGATTCCAAAAGGTATTCAACTATCTAAAGGAGAAACCAGGAAAGGAATATGATCCACAAGTGGCAAGTTGCCATGGAAGACCATCGTAACGACAACAGTGCTGACCCAATCAATCTACAGGTTTTGCACTTTGCTTATTTAACATGACCCAAGTAGACAAAATCGGCAATCACACTTCCTGTCACAGCTCCGTGACAAGTTGCGTCATTCAAAGAGGTGTACAGGGATCACATATTTTCCTTATGTACATTAGCGATCTTATTGACATTTTGTCCATGACAAGCCTTATAGGTCAGCCGATAATATAAAAGCGGTGGATGATTTCGAGCCCCAGGACCAGGAAGCCAAATTAAGAAACGTACAGACTGATTTGAGTGATCCTGAAGGATAGTACTGTAGATTCAAAAATGAGTTTCTCCGTTGAAAACCACCATGCTGTTTGATATAGAAGATGAACCAACACCATTCATTGGTATGCCACTTGCTTGTCGCAACCTAGTACGAGATTTAGGGTTTCACTACTCCGACAGCCATAAAACTATTGCTAAAGACAAGCAAAGGAATACAAGGATACTCAAGTATTGTACTAGATTAAATATCAGACTTATACTTAATGAAATACACGCATACCAAGTGTCGTAGCATTGTTCCCTGGCAGCGTGACACAGTAGCACTAGACTGAGTTCAGCGTAACTTTACAAAAAAATCCTGAGCTCAAGTCAAACTGCTGGCGCTAGAGCCAATACGGCTGAGTAGGCTAAGACGCACCAATCTGCGGGAAAACATTTTACTCTTTAGATGGTATCACTTTGGTATCGCTTTCCACTGTCTGCCATGACCCCATGTGTTCCGCATCCGCATCGATAAACTCCGCATGGTTACAAAAGATAGGTGTAACTCATCGAAATCACATGGAGGATTTTCCTTTGACAGATTTCAGGACAGAAAGAAGGAACAACACTCAAACACAACAGTTTGAATTAATATCGCAGAGACAGAAGCATGTCAGAGAGGAACAAACAGCATGTAATACCATCGAAGTGACTTTCCTCGGTAGTACAGAGAAGAAGAGGAAGAAGCGACGTGACAGCAAGTGCAACGTAAGTATGGAATGGTTGGAGGGTCATTCTGAAGTACTCATTGTGTGAATAGATTGCGACATGCAATCGCAATACAGACCGCGATTCCCATTGAAGTGAGCCTTGCCAATTCGATCACCGCTTTGTCAAGCGCTGCCCGTCGCGACCCAGTGGGTAGAGGTTCCAACTAACATCTCAATGGTCTTAGATTCGAGGCCCACTATCTTAGCAGGGTTTTCGGGCGGTCAACACCAAATAGCTATCTGCTTCATTAGTATACAAAATCAGGAAGAGCAGCGTCAGGGATAAACGAAAGACTTGGCTAGATTGAACGTAGCTAATGCTAAGTAATATTTACTCTGTTACGCTTGGTCATCATCTCGCCATCAGTATACACGTTAGCTAGAGGTAGTAAAGACCATCCAATTTCCCGAAAACATACCGACCCTATTCTAACCTCCAACCTAGAGAACGGAGAAAGTGACTTACCTTGTATTCCAACCAATGCACAGAAGCGAGATTTTTGTAACAATTCCCGTATTTGTGGAATGTTATACAAATAAACAAATAATGACACGCCAAATTCAATGAAAAAAGAATGGTTACGAAATGACGTTCTGCGGTGCATGAAAGTGGAAAAAGAACTCGCCTCAACATTATTGTAGCCTGCAGCCAAATGCAGTGGGGTGGAATTACGTCCTTGGACATCGCGGCAGTTGATGTTAGCGGGAGTAAGCAAGCGCTGTAGTCTGGCTAAATTTCCCCGCTTTGCGGCTTCTAGCACAGTGATGTCCCCGCGCAGCAAATCATGGACATCGCTGTCAGAATCCTACGAAAATAAAGGAAAACAAAATATTAGTAACAAAAACGATATACTCGTAGTGTGGTCTTTAAGATGGAACTCATTTTACTACCAATACGGTTGATTCGAATGCGAATGCACATGCAAAACGTTTCACAACCAGTTAGTAAAGGAGAGGATTGAATTAAGAGAATGTGAACATCACTCCACCGAAGAGCGAGTGGAGTGGATATGCAAAGTGAGATACAGACAAACAGAAGCAAACGCTTAGACTAAGGAGTGATTTGCAGTCATGATTAGGTTGTTGCAGTGTCCCGATGCAACGGTTGTTCAGCCGTAGCCGACCTGTAGGCTACCGCGCACGTCCCCAGGTTGCGGAATCGGAGATGCTTCCTTTACGGAGGTAACTGTAAATAAAGCGCACATGGTTTGCACTGAGATAAATAAGCAGTCGCGGACAATTCAACAGCGGTGCTAGATGTCGTGGTGGGGTTTTCGCTTAGCAAGCGTTCTCCCTATAAAAAGCCACACAAGTCGCATGAAAGCACTGTGACTTGACGGATGCAACTCGTTACTAAATAAAATCACTGCCGACGAGACGGTTGGGTCCATGGTATGGCTTTAGCTAACCGAAAGGGGTATGAACCGAGCGATCGGTCACCGGTACCCAACGGATTCAAGTTCCTCATATCGCTCAATGCCTTGTGGACAACAAGTCGGTGTCGCATGCACCCTGGAATCTCTGGCAAAATATGTCGGTTGCTTACCTGAAACCCGACTTCAGGATCTTAACACGGGTTACCAACTGCCTTAACCGGTAAACTATCATCGGACCCAAACGTTTGCATAACAATGATTTTGGGGAAAGCGTGAACTCGGGCTGGGATTGACTTCTGGACTGCTTGAACGATCAAAGTCGCAAACTTGAGACAGGGATATAGATGTTATGTCAAGTGAACTAAATAAACTGGCATACACTACTCAGTAGTCCGAAGTAATTAGGTAGGTAACGTAACAACCAAATAACTAAGTAACAGTGTCCGTTGGCCAAGGTGGTAGTGTCGGCCGTATGAATGGTTTTTGTACACATAATTCCGGCTTTAGATGGTGAATGTAGACAGACTCGCCGATGGATAAGAGCTGTTTGCGGAATCTTTGGAAGAAGTGTTCAGGTAGTGAGTAGATGATTTTGAAGTCATTCTCTAAAGCTGTATGATCACATTTAAGGAGGTGCAACATGATTGAGCTGACTGAGGACTTCATTTCGCACTTGTAAAACCATGCTAGGATGTGTTCATGAATTCTCTGAGATGGGCACCTTGTCGTGCGACCCACATATTGCGCGCCAAAGGAGCACGAGTATTTGTGCAGCAAAGCCGCTATTAAAAGCACTTTTGGAGAAAAATACGGAGGTGTGGGCTCTACCCAAACGCAAACGTTTGAAGAGACATACACTCAAGTATGTGGATGCCATCCGCGTTAAGATATCGGAGCTAGAGAGATTCAGTTCGCAAAGATTACCAGCCGTCGTATGCCTGCCTGAAAACTTGGGACAACCTTTTGAGGAATATGTAGAACTGGTTAAACAGAAAATGGGAGTTAGGAAACAAAAGTAGTTAGTTAGTACGCTTAATAGCCATGTCCCCCAGCTGACATTTCCGAACAACCTGCAACGATATGTATTTAACCATTCAAGTGTGATAGTAACCTAGACGCAGCTGAACGTGCTCATTAGGTCCAAAGTATTGCATTCTATGTAGGAAAATAGATCAGGCGGCTTTAGAAGTGCAGTTTGAAACCCCAATTGCTTCTAACCTCATCAAGTGATGTTGAGAATCTAAAATCTAGCCTAGTTCATAGTTGTCACGAATACTTTAAGACGAAACAACCAAGTAATGGTATTATCACTAGGGAACAAATTCAGTCACTTAAAGAGCTACGGTTAAACAACGAATTAATAATCTCTAAGCCAGACAAGGGATCCGGAATAGTGCTAATGGATAGGGTGTATTATATCCATAAAACGCAGCACATCTTCAGTGACGAGAGTAAGTTTCAGAGGCTCGTGGCATGAAAAGATAACACGGTGGAGTTAGAGAAACAGCTGACCGGCTGCCTCAGGCGAAGGAAGAAAGAATTCGAAAAGCTGAAACTTCAGATGGACACCTACTGAGATTCTATGGCTTGCCTAAAGTTCACAACGAAGGCGCCCCAATGGACCCCATCTTGGACATCGTGGGTTCCCCTCAGCATTTGTTGGCGCAATGGACAGTGGAGAAGCTGCAGCCGTTACGGAATTTGATTTTCACTTACTGCGTGAGAGACACGTTCGAATTCATTGGGAGGATATATGAAATCAAACTAGTTAACAAAAGGACAATATCATTCGATGCCCAGTCGCTGTTCACAAACATTCCGTTGCTCGAAACCGTGGATTACATATGCGAGCATGCTCGGAAACTACCCATATACGCAACTTTTTCGGAGAATTAACTAAAGGAGGTGCTACTTCGTTGCACGTTAAATGTTCATTTCACCTTCAATAGTGAAATGTGCCGTCAGACTGACGGAGTGGCCATGGGATCTTCTTTGGGGCCGCTGCTGGCTGATATTTTCATGGCGAAATTGGAACATGGCCAACTTGCAACGCACATCCGTGAAACCGAAATGTACGTACGGTATGTTGACGACACCTTCGTACTTTGTAAATCCAAAAAGCATGCGGAACAGTTTCTGGAAGCTTTCGATGACACACACGAGAATCTACACTTCACTTGTGAACACGAACTCGGAAACCGGTTACCTTTCTCGGATGTAAAGGTTACCCGTAACTCGGACGGATCACGCAGCAGAAAGGTATACAGAAAGCACACATGGACTGGGCAGTACACTAACTTTCACAGCGCATACCGCTACAGTATAAGCGGAGTTTAATCAGATCTCTCGCCTTCAGGGCGCGAAGTATTTGTGCACCGGATACCGTCAACGACGCCCTCAGAGGAAATGGTTAACCTGATAAATTTATCATGAAACATTTGAAGGAACGCAATCGAAAGCCACCTAGGAGCATTTCTCCTAAGAAAAAGCATTTCTGCAGCTGATATGTTATACCGACGACTGAAAGATGCTGTTGAGAAAACTTATTTCAAGGCCCGCCTGAGAATCGTTTTTCACAACAAGCCGCTGCTTACAAAACCTTTGAAGGATAGACTGCCGTCTTTGTGACCCGTTCAATGATCGTTTATCAGTACTCGTGCTCCTGTGGTGCACAATACGTAGGTTGCACGACAAAGCGCCTAACTCAGAGGATTCGTGAACACATCCTAGCATGGTTTTACAAGTGCGAAATGAGGTCCTCAGTCATCACAATCATGTCGCACCTCCTTAAATGTGATCATACAGCTTTAGAGAATGACTTCAAAATCATCTACTCACTACCTGAACACTTCTTCCAAAGATTCCGCAAACAGCTCTTATCCGTCGCCGAGGCTGTCTACATCCACCATCTGAAGCCGACACTACCACCTTGGCCAACGGACACTGTTACTTAGTTATTTGGTTGTTACGTTACCTACCTAATTACTTCGGACTACTGAGTAGTGTATGCCATTTTATTTAGTTCACTTGCATAACATCTATATCCCTGTCTCAAGTTCGTGATTTTGATCGTTCAAGCAGTCCAGAAGTCAATCCCAGCCCGAGTTCACGCTTTCCCCAAAATCATTGTTTTGCAAACGTTTGGGTCCGATGAGAGTTCACCGAAAAGAATCCTTCACCCTGAACTGACTGCTGATATTGATTCATAATACTGGAAGGTCTTCGTCATTTGCTTTTACCAACGGAATAAGCCAAGGTTGCCCTATCTCACCGTCCTTATTCAACTCTGTTATCGAGGATGTTCAGCACCGTGCACTGGAAGGTGACGAGAGCTGCGCGTTGAGCTCCGCTCCGGGGACAGAGTCTCGTACCTGGAATATGCTGATGACATTGCTTTCCTGGGAGAGGGCCCACAGGCCAACCAAAACGTTTGAAACCGCTTAGCGATCGATGTTTGTGTTTCGCCCCATCCGAGGGTAACGCGCTGCCTACGATCACAATTACAGATGATTGTCTGGAGCTTCATTTACCGCTGAAGTTGTATCACAGCGGGTGGCGGTGTTGGAAATGTAGTAGCTCGGCGAATCGCCAAATCCAAGCTGGCGTTCACCAACTTGAGACATTTGTGGCGCCGTCGCGGAATCAGTCAAAGGCTCAATAGTATAGTGTACAGTACCACTACCCGTGCGGCCCTGCTGTACGGCTGCGAGACCTGGCCTGTTCGCGCGGAAGATCTGAAACGACTATCATCTTTCGACAACCGCTGTTTGCGAACGATCGCTAGTTTATGGTGGTAACATCATGTAGGCAACTCGGAAATTAGAAGTCGAGTACACGAAGCGAAAAATCCAAACCTCCAGGGCATTACTCTCGAAAACCGTTTACGTTAGCTCGGTCCTGTATTGCGCATGCCAGCCAATCGACCTGCGCACCGAGCATTATTTGTGATCTCTGGGCGTGAATGGATAAGATTCCGAGGTAGACAACCGATGACCTGAAAAAAGAACCGTAAGAATGTCACCTAATGTTGGGCATCAGCAGAACCAAGTGATGGGGACTCCAAATCGTTGGAAGTTTTGGAGGCTATCGCTCGCCATCGAAATCAGTGGCGCCAATGCTGTTCTAACATTAATTTTTCATCCAAATTTCAATTATAAAAGAGAGAAAAATATACCGTTTTCCTTGTTTGTCGTACAATCCGTTCCGCATTCCATTACAGCCAAGGTTCTGATGGCACATCTGTGTGTTCTCAGATATGAATATAAATATATGTGACATAAAGTACCCGAGGAAATATGTTAGAAACTTGAATGGGCTAGTGAGCGATCATGCGACTGCTGGTTAATTAACTACAATACGAGCATCAGAGTGCGATGGATTCAGTCGGTATGACCAACAGAACCACAATCATAGTAAGCAACAGAAATTAGAAATGAAAAGTGCAGGATCAAAAATGTAATTGAAAAGCAAAGAAAAATAAAAATTGATACAGGAATGAATTTATTGCTAAAATTATTAAAATGGGATGATACAGTGACTCGCATTATGGTTGCGTGACAGCGGAGGTATCTCTAAGCACCGATGCGACCGATCTAATAGCACCAATCGGACGAAATCATTATGTCTTCTTCATGCCTTTTCGCTGCCAACACGAGGACCTATGTGATTCGTATGCTGTGAGCGCCGCGGCTGAATGTGCGCTGTTTCTAGTCGTAGATTCACGAAACCAACTAAGATCGAAACGACACCTCTGAGTTTGAGGGGTTAAAGTGACTGCTTCATGCAAAAGCACAAGAGTTAAATTGCCTAGTATATTTGTCGATGGAAGTTAGAAAGCAAATCAATGCTCATAATGGACACACTTTCATGATGGCTGTAGAGTTAGCGGAGGCGCGTAAATGTCATATTTGATGAGTAGATCATGATGGGAGCATCCTATGGAGGTAGTGGATTGACCAACAGGCAATAGGAAAGCAGAGAGATGTACCGAGACAAAGCACGCACAAAGAAAAGATCTCCGAATTCCAGCTTCATCAGAGCGTTTTTAAACAAATTCCGAGTGGTAAGCCACATATCGCGTCGAACAGCCTTGGATCCATTCAGGATTGGGTGAAGCCATCTAATCTGGCAAGAAGCCGAGACAACAAAGTTGCTTCAAGCAGACATAGGTTATTATCCCTAGGACTAAGAGTAGCTAACATGATTGTGACTGCCTGTAAAAGGAAGTAAATGTGACGTTGATAGACGAAGGTGATGAATCGAGAAAAAAGAGGTTGAAGTTGAGCTCGGCAATCAATCAGAGGACGAATTACAAGGACACGTCAAACAGTTCACCACCGGCGCAGCTTTAGCACTTGGTCTCGATAATACGAGCAATGCTGGAGTACGGCACTCCCGCATACTGTCCCATCACCCGGGGCGAAGTAGAAAAGCTTGAGCGGGTGCAGCATGTAGCCACCAGGCTGATTCCCAACTTACGAGGTATGTCATACGAAGACCGATGTAAGAAACTAGGGTTATACACCCTATCTTATCGTCGGCTGAGAGTTGACCTCATCATGACGCACCGGATATTACATCTGGGTGACTACCCCATGTTGAGACAACTACTTCATCTGCGCACACAAAGCTGCACGCGAGGACACCGGTATAAACTTATCGTCCCGGATTTGAAGCGGGTCGCTCATCAACTCTGTTTCGAACGCAGAGTGGTGAATGTCTGGAACGACCTGCCTCAGCATATAGTAGAAGCCAACACAGTGTCTAAATTCAAGATATTACTCGACCAACAATTTGCAGATGCAAAGTACAGAGAGCGAAACGATAAATAAAGAGTTCATGTCCGAAAACGACGATTGATGCAGCTACACAGAGCAACCTCTACTCGCTGCTTCCCACCAATTCTCAGTTCTCAGTTTGTGTGCGCAAAGAAGGGCAGTATAGATGTGAAACCGAAATGGATGCAGCCAGGCATTAAGAAGCAAAAAAGCAGGTATATGAGACAATTTTGGTTCGTATAATCTGGCTAAGATTCGAAAAATCAAGCCCTGCTAACAGCCGTAAAAGGACCCAAACACAGGTGGTGAAGTAAGAGGGGAAGGTACTGTACAGCTGTCAGCCAACGTTCCGTGCAGTCAGCAGCTGTTGACAAACATGTGAGCAAACGCATCGATAACCCGTGAGGTATAAAACTCACCTTGACCAAATCGATTGGAGTGTGCCCATCTCGATTCTTCCTGTTTGGATCTGCTCCATGTTGTAAGAGAAGGCGACAAATCTCGAACTTCCCTTTTGCTGCTGCTTCATGCAAGGGAGTGAATCGCCACAAATCAGTTACGTTTACGTTGGCTCCATGTTGAATCAGCAATTCCGCTACCTACAAGGGGGGAAATAATATATAGTGATGATGCGTGGAAAACGCTCGAAGTTTACAGCCCGAGGAGCCCAAAGAAAAAACCCATACGTTGCATGCTATCGAAAAATCAGGCGGATATTAGGCAAACCGACCAACAAGCAAACGAGTTGCAGTGCGGCCTCAAGAAGTCAGGTTTCGCACATATATAAAGTTGGCGGTATCCGATTCCGGATTTGCCTGCCACTGCGGCCACCATGGGAACAGCCACAGGAAGCCTGCGCCTACAGAGGGACCGTGGGTGTCTCGCGCTGCACCACTAATGGCTCCATCTACACAACCCATATCCAGAACATAAGGATGGGAGCCACGTTTCATCAACGGAGCCAGCCCACACTCTTTGGACATACGCAGCAGCAGTGTTCCTGTCTACCTATGTGGGGAATCGTGGGTACCAGACGTACACAAGGCGGTGGCTGGGTCGTAGTCCGCTCAAAACGGGATGGAACTATTCTTTGAGATTAGTAGGGCCACGAGGACCGTGCACCCCGTCCCTCCAGCAAAGATTAGTAGTCTCCTGGAGCCCGTAGTCAATGTGGAGGGTATTAGACAGGTAGCCACCTTTTCAAAATTCACATCAAGCGCACCCACACTGGAGAGATCAAACAACTAACATAGAATTTGAAGGAAAATAAACAAGTAAAATTGACACGGAATATGCAGCGGAATAAGAGAGCTGAGCAACTCAAAAAAGTAAAATACTTTTCATCCAGGTTTTTAAAAAATCTAGCTAGTGTAAGCCGGTGTGGTTCAACTGCGGTGAAGAGGCATGAAGCACGCAACATCTACCTCAGCATCGTTATCTTCTATATAGCTGGCGCATTTATTCCCACGTCTTTTGTATCCTCATTTGAAAAATAGCTACTATTCAGCCCAGGTTCTCTAATTCATACCTAATTCTTGCTGCCGATCCTCTTGGTAATCATCGCCACTGACGCTTGAGTTTTCTTATTGCTTGTTTGTCCTATCCCCTGACACCCTAGCTCTGCACCTAAGTGTGTTGGAGTTAATCGCATGTGGAGCTGCCATCCCAGTATGTTCTTTTACCCTAGGCTAGTTCTTAGTTAGCTTTCCACCACTATCTGTGCTATAGCAGATGTATTCATTCCCATCAACCTATCTCACCTCATATGAACCACGGCTGCTTTACAGCCCATGTTCTCATACCTTTTGTTCACTATCGATGATTGATCCTCTTGGCTCACAGTGTCTCGGACGTATAAGTATTCCATGCCGCTTGTTTGACTTACCAACCGATACCGTAGCTCTCCACTTCCGAATAGCGGACTCAATCACATGAGGCATTGCAACCGCATTATTTTCTTGAACACTTAGGCCAGTCAACTTCGCAACACTATCTTCGATATAGCTAGAGAAATTAGTCTTCAGTTGTAAGGCAGTTGTAAGGCTAAACAAATCGCTTTTGAGTGCACAACTTTGGTTCATACAACCGGACTGCTATAGCTTCAGCGGCTTCTAGTATCCGATTGCGCATATACATCGATTATCGGGGCCTTGTAGATAATTTGGAATGCTTCGGCTGGCCTACGGTTGTGGCCTGTGTCGGTAAGGTGGGCAGTTATGGCTGAGTTACATACCCTTCCGCATCCGGTCGCCAGCCATGCCGGACGGTGTTCTTTCATTCTCTCGGATAGACACCTAGTCGTACGACCAATGTATCCTGAACCACAGAAACAGATAAAAGAATAGATACACATAGCGTTGTCATGGACAGGTCTACTATCCTTGAGACTGAGCTTCACCATCGGTGTGCTAGTAAAATAGGTATGTAATTTGGCTCCTGGGAACATCCGTCTAAGCTCCTGTGATAGACGGCGATTAAGAGTTTCGGCAGCGACCTCCCCTTTGTAAGGAAGTTGGAAAATTGCTTTTCATTTGGTCGTTATGACCAGTGGTGTGTTCATCCTCTTCTCCATGTTGACTTATGTGGTGATTTGGATAGCCATTTTCTCGCTGCAACGAGCATATTCGCTGTAGTTTACCTACAAGTGTATCATGCGAGCAGATTCCTTCTGCTCCACTGATTAGATTATGAGTTAAATTACGCTTCAGCCTCAGTGGCACGAAACTGTGGAAGTTGGTGTACTGGCCATTTCACGAGCCTTTTATATATATGTGCCGCTGTAATATCCCGCTATCGAGTCTCTTTAGGCCAACGTCCGGAAAGTGATAATTTATTTCCCTACGTCGCATATTCCTCGCCCACCCTAAAGTGCCTGTGTATCGGGCTCACCGTTTGCCTCTGGCCTACCTTACGAAGCTGGCTGCCTCATTGGCTCAAAGCTGTTCAATTGATTGTGGTCAGTCATACGCCTGTCCGCGTTGTCTATTCCTAGTCGCAGCAAGACTCCGTGTGAAGGTGTTCTTTCCTTGTGGCCGCGGTGCATAGCATTCGCCCTACGGTGACTTGTGATACATAAGGACAACGGACTGTGGTGTCTACAAACCGCATAGACTAGGGAGCCAGGTGTTAATCGGTGGGGGTGTGTATATCACTTTTTTCTCCAGGGGCAAGAAACGCAGAAATCCAAATGATGGCATTCCGTTACCTCCTGCAGCACTTCGGTTAGATTCGTAAGCTCGGTTTCATCAGTGGTGTTAACAAAACCTGTAAGGTAGATGGAAGCAGACAATGTAACGAAACCTCCAGATAGAATAAGGGTGATAACGTCCCCACCACACAAACCTGGTGTCTGAGAGAACACTGCGGGGAGTCAAAGTTTCGGGTAAGGTTGCTACCAGCATCGCAGCACACCATAGGACTATGGTGTTAAGTGAATTCAATGTAGCAAGTATGGTGTATTCGTTTAGGCGACGCGCTATACTCCTCAGTTGCGTCTGTACATTTGATAACTGGCAGACCGGACTTTCTGTCATTCTACAAGTAATCGAAAGCCCGACAAGAAGTTGCTGTTCGACTGTAACTCATTTCTACCTGGGAATATGAAGTGTCTCACACTAACAATTTCATCAACGAACGTGGATTCTGTAGTCGGATTAAAATGTGATTGCACAAGGCACTCCCCCTAGCGGACAAGTCACCTACAACTAAGCTGGTTCCACTAGCATCTGCGAAGGAGGGCAGAACCTTAGAAACCGGTAACTATGACAAGCGCAGGGAAACAAATGCAGTATGGCAAAAAAAGTAGTGGGACAACCGGTACCTCGGATGCTAGTGCGCGCATAAAGAAACGAAATCAGTAGTCCTGCATGCCTCACGGAACAAAAGCGGTGCGTTGAAAAATGCACGGTCATTGTCGCACTGCCTTCAGGTTCCGCGATCTTCCATAGTGAGCTGTTTGAGCTCAGTGTTCAGAGCTCAGCGTAGTATTACAGTAATTGTACGGAACTCTTGCACAAATTGAACACAGCGGAAATCTGTCTGTTCATTACGTGCCTAGTGAACACACAGATGACAATAGTAAATTTGTGCACGGCATTCCGGATATGTGTCTAATGCGCCTCAACATCTGTGAGCAGAGAGAATAGGTGACGAATTCCGGAAGGCACCCAGCTTGTTTGAAACGACAAGTTTGCCTACTTCTAGCTGTGTCCGACGATGCTGCTAGGGGCCAACAAATGCAGGGTGATTCTAGCACACACAAACGCGTGATCGGAAGTGAGCTAAGTAGTTTAACTTGATCTGCTGTCCCTTAATCAGCCTCGTCAACGGTAATCGATGACGATGTGGCCAGTCTGTATCCACCACCGTGATCACCACGCATCTGTGGCGGTCGATCTACTCAATCCCGTAGCCTAAAGGTAACGAGCTTGTCTCGTAATCTGACGACGCGGGTTCGAGCCTGCGTAGGAACAGGGGGATCCTCGCAGTATCCACGTGCGACAGGTGGTAGTTGCGCGGTAGCGAAGCGTCGGTACTGCGTACCGATGTGCTGCTGATGTCTTTCTTTTTCTTTCTTAATCCGTCATGCGAATATTATAGTAATCCAAACTACGGACATCTTACTCCTGAGCTCCGAGTCTACCAATCGGTGCGCTCAGGTCCCTGATGAGAACCCCGATATCCTTGCGATGATGCTTATGGAGTAGGTCGGAGAGTTGACGGTAGAACTCATCATTGACTCAGTCCGGGCTGCAACCCGTGGGAACATGCACTATTACGCCAAACAAACAATGTTTGGTTGTCTTGCGGCTGCATACTCGTATGCAGACTTCTAGCCGAATTGCACAGGATTAGTTATTAATTGGAATCCAACCAAGTAGCGCTGCTTCTGCGCGTGCAATAAACACAATTCGTACATCAGCCTGGTCCGCAGCTTATGTCTCCCGATATCTCCCGGTAGGTTTGGCGTGCATGTGCCCTGCAAACGATCCGAGGATTACGTAGATTACTGTCCAAGTCTATTGTACGCACATAGAGCGCATAGCAATCGCAGGACTCTGGGAAGCTTTCTGCTCTGCGATCATCGCACCAGTTAAGGTGTCTATGTCCACCTGTGCACATGCGATTTAACATTTTGACCAAAGTAACCTGTGACCCACGCGGTTCAATGCACCACTCGTATTGTGCCTGTTGCCCTGCGCACGGCATGCGTCCAAAGCACGCGATAGGTTGTACGCACTTGCGCCTGGGGTTTAGCTTAGGAACATGGACTGTCGGCGTGTCAGTATGCGAGTAGGCAGTGGCCCTATTCGACACCAGGCTCTGTTATAATAGTGATGTGAATCGCGCCCGAATTTTTTCTCACACACTGACCCCACTTCATCCTAGCCTGTCTTGGGTGACATCAGGTATCCACGAATTACCACCCTCAACCCCCGTCATGTAATCCGTCACCGCCGATGTGCCAAGTCGCAAACGAGCAACTCCGGGCTGTAATGATTCCCCTACACCCACGTGCTCTATACATGCGCACACGTTGCTATGTGTGCTATGCATCCGATATGCTATTGGCTGAGAGCGCTTGGCTAAGGAAACAACCGCACGACGGTGCGCGCAAGTCACAGCGGCCTGGCTCAACTTGGTTCATTCTAAGGAGCAACCTGTTGGCATAATAGATGAATTTGATATCTGGTTGTCTCAAGTTGCTACCTCTATGGCCTAACATGGAGCGGAAATAGTATAGAGGTAAGCACATAATAGGTGACTGAACGTGTTGAAGGTGTGGATCGCTTGTCGAAAGAATACCGGCTCTCCGAACATCGCTGTGGTCTGAAGAATTGGGTTCAACCCTAGTTTTGTACAAACCTTGCCTCAGAAAATTCAATTACCTGGCGTTAACATATCATGCAAGTTAAATCCACCTCGTCAGTGCAGATTGCCTCTTGAAGGGAGCAAATAAGCACTTTGCTTAGCTAACGCTTCCATGGTGCTCTGCACTGTCTATCTCGTCAGTGGATAATTTTTCGCGCAAATGATATCATTTTATCCGTCGAGATCGAACCGATTAAACATGAAGAGTCAAGGGGAATTGTCAGTGACGCTCCCTTAATCAGTTCACTATCCGGTCAAACGCGCTTGACATGCTTCGTCTACAAGATCCCACAGTATCCGCCCTCTCCCAGACGATTATCATACTCGATGGTCAAACTTCGATCAGTAAACAAATGGAATGTGCCTAAAAGGAAAAGCGCTCAGAAATTGATTCACTGCATCCTAGTCATAAGACTCTTTCGCGGTCATTGAACTATTTTACCGAAATCAAAATCAAATTCTTGATGAAGTGCCCTAGACAGCATCGCCTCTACTCCTCGCGCAGCGCGCTAACAATTATGACGTTCGGGACGACTATAAGTAGCAATGACGAGCCATAGGCTGAACATCCTCAGTACTCTGTATCCTCGGCCAAGCACAACTTGCAGTTCATGTAGCTGGAAATGATTTTGACCATACTATCACAATTATGCTACACTATGCCGTCAATTGTCACGATAATTTCAATCCACGCATGTGGACACGAAGCGATCAGTTTGCGACATAAATGTCACCTTATGGGATCAAAGCAACTGGGTCCCAATCCAGCAGACGCATAATTAACAACGCATTTCCCGACTGACGGTATTTTACTACACCATATTTGACGATGCTGTACAGCACCAGATATTCTCTCCGCAAATCAGCAGCCATTCTGGAGTGTCGTTATATATCTATATTTTGCAGTTATCATCTACCTCACAAAACTTGGGTAAACTCTTCTGTACCAAACAACAAAAAACGATGAGTATTCTTCACGCTCCTTATTGCGCAATGTATGGAAAAACCTTAGTACGCACATTTCCCGATACCTAATCCACTTACAATTGTACTATTGATGAACTTATGTTATTTTCCTATAGCTGTAAGACAGAGGATCATTTCATTTCGCGCTGAACACTTGACATCTGTGTTACAGCATACTAGACTGGCACTGTAAATTATTTCTTGTGATTGCTGCAACAAAACTATTGGTTTCTGTTGCAGTCCAGCTGCCAAATTGTTGATCATGCCATACTATGAAGTGCTCCGATCGTACAAAAATAAACATTTATTTATTTGTTTGTCATTGACAAATCGCTTACAACAACTGATAATTGCGTGACAGTTTGGGCCATTTCTTATATGACAGCCGGTTCATCTCTTTATATTTATCGAAAGTCGGCTATAGAGAAAGAATCGGCGTTGAGGACGAGCTAACCACAAGACTGACAACTAAATCCAGATGAATAAAACCAAATATAATAATATGTGTCACCAACTAAATCCGAGTGAAATAAACCCATCGTAGCAGGAAGCACTTGCCTTTGAAAGCGACGCCAAAGTATTTAAATATACGAAAATAGTTACTAGCCTGTCTTGCGGAGAAAAGCAAACAAAAACATGCACAGCGAATAAAAACTGCAAAGCGAGATACGAAGCATTCAACACCGATGATAGTGACGCAACGGTAAGTAAGCGCCATTACATGACTGCTACTGGTTGAATAAAGGACGCAAACGTACTCTGAGGTGTCCATAAGAACAGGCATTGTGCAACGGCACTAATCCACCCTTGTCTTTCGCGTGCACATCGGCTCCGTACTGTAGCAATAGCTCGACAACAGCAAGACGATTGTAACCCGCAGCGAAATGTAATGGTGTCGAATGCCGTCCATCAATGTCACGGCAGTTGATTAAATCACCCGTGGTCGGAAACGATGAAGTGGCGCCACCAACAGTTGTAACGTTGCAGCCGGAAGCGGAGGGCAATTGGTTCTGTTGTTGCTGCCGCTGCTGCAGTTCCTGTTGCTGCTGACTATGGTGATGAGCGCTAACAAGGCCCCGTACAAGCTCTACGTCACCGGACTTGGCAGCCTCTAAAAGCTGCAACACCAAATCCGCCCAAGTATAATTGGCAAAAATAGTCGGAGATGCATTTGATGATCCTCGATTCATGGAGCCAGATGAAATGCCATTCCATGAGACAGAAACAGCGGGGCCAGAAGCCTTTTCAAAAGTTGGGTTGGCTGGTGACGGAATGGGATTTAGTGGCTGTGTTCTGGAATCCTTCGAAGATGCTTTCATTGGAAGTGAATCGGGAAGATGAATCACATCTCTGTCTTCCATGTCATTAACAGCAAGGGATCGAGTAGGATTGCCAGCTAGATGACAAACAAGAAAAGATTAAAGAATCGATAGTGAGATGGTAGTGACGCTAACCAGCCAATAAGGGTGATTGTGGCGCACAAGGCAGATTAAAGGGAAAGGGGAGTAGGGATTTGCGTGCAAACGCAATGTGAGCAATATGTGTAAGTTGGAAACAAAGCCAGAATGAAAGCAGACGTTCTAAAAGTGGAAAGAGAACAAAATATAACGCGCTGACCGTTGTATTTTATGTGATAGCTACTTCCGAGAGAAAACGAATGTAGCATTGAGACGGGTGGTAGAAAATTGTTCAGGACTGGCTGGAATCTGAAATCTGGTTCGGACCGGTGTGTACACTTAGTGCAACGCGAAGACCATCATCATACATAATTGCAAACTGATCTCAGTGAAAGGCCTCCAGATGACGGAAGCATTTGTTGACTCTTAAGCAAAGAAAGTCGCGAAGTACTCATCAGTATTGAAGTGCACATTATAAACGTAGAATGCTTGGTGCCGGGACGGGAAGAGAATTAGTGCTTATGGGAAGGGCTGGTGTAGGAATGTAGGTCTCGTGCTCTTAAAATGCAGATGGGTCAATTAACGAACTACAACAGGGGTAAGTAGTAGAGGGGCTTGACTATGCTCAAGCAGTTTCGTCACATCTACGACTAATAGTATGGTCGACACACAGGAAAAGCGGTGAATGTCTGCTTCGCCCATATGGAACCACTCAGTAGAGCACAGATTTTCGAATCCGACTTGGTATGAACCCATACCGGTCGAACTTGCAGGCAGCGCCTTAATGCAACTAAGAGCCAGGTGATTGAGCTGGTTGTTTCAAATTCTAATCTCCTTTACCTAATTCCTGAAACTGCCAAACAGTGAGGGACACCGCGATATGATCAGCGGCTAAGAGAAGTACGTCGCCTTTCAGGGGGCATCCCATGTCCTCCGTGCTATAATCATGTGCAGAGTTGAGGATCGAACGCGCTGTACCACAGCTGGTAGATTTATCGTGTAGGTCGCCAGCGGTATAAAGCGCTGGCTATCAGTCGAACGGGTATGAGTTCGGACGAACTTCCGTGTGACTCTGTGGTCCCACCGGGTCTGGGCAATCTTTCTTGAGCACTAGTGGCCCAACAAAGGTATGTTCTTCATGTTTCGGTATGTAAAAACCAAACTTCCGTTAAATCCAGTGGCGTTTGGCGTACATCGTAGAAGTATGTCCTACTTATGACCTATACCCTGTTCTTCTGCAGAAGCAAAAAAGTAAACTGGCTTTGAAGAAATACATGAGTGATACCGGTGGGAGCAGTAAACTCCACTAGGGTTTGGTCAAAAAGATATGCGAACCAATTGACCACATAGAAGCGGACGACAAATAGGTCTACTTCTGAGATATTACTCTTTACTTGGAAAGAAAAAGGTACTTGTGGAAGAGGGCAGCGCTCCGCATCAAAAGAGTAAACAAAGCTTGGAAAAGTTCAGGATCCGAATCAGAGACAGAAATGGTTAACACACTGCAAGTCTGTCTAATAAATAGCCGGTGCAGCAGCCAACACAAAAGTGGCTGCAAAGACAGAGTCATACATGAACTCTCATGTCATAAGGTAGGAGGGCAAGGAAACGAACTAGGCCCTGCGAACCCCATTGGTCGTATAGAATTCGGGAGGGACTATGCGCAAGCTCATACATGGGTCACGAGATTCCGGTACATGGATTACAGAGTGACGATCGGTTCCTTTGATGCTACTGTCATCCACCAGTAGCGTCAAAGCAAGCGTGCTCATCTGAAACCAGTGGGATTTAAACAACCTAAAGACGGTCAGTGTAGGCGGTTTAGATGTATGGTGTTGTTGCATAAATTCGGAGAAAAAACCCTTAGTTAATCAAAGTGAGGGAATACTAGCCCAGCTGGTTAGCCGAACAACCTCCTCATGGTGCCAGCTAGGTGGTTCGGGATTTTCCCGTTCCAGCTTATGGTTCGGCGGCAGTGTTCCAGAACGTGGTGGATTTTCGCCTGGCAAGCGTTCTCCCTATAAAAAGCCACAAATGTCCGTTTAACAACACTGCGACGTGGCGGATGTGACTCGCCACTAAATAAAGTCACTGCCCCTTGCCCCTCCATGAGGCACCGTACTTTAAGAGTGCGTTGGGCCCCTGGTTCTTCACGGACAGAAAGGCGTATGAACCATCTATTTGGTCACCGGCTCCCAACGGGTTGCGACGCCCTCACATCGCCCTGATGCCTTGTAGGTTAGATCTTTGATCAAAGGCTCGGGGTAGGGCCCCCTAAGACAACCCTCTACTTCGGCCTGGGCAACCGGGTAGTATCACGCCCACTGACAAATCATGGACCACACCGCTTACTGCTGCTACTGCTATGCCTATCTTCTGTGCTAACTCAACCGCTCAGCCTCCACTCACAGATCACTCCACCTCCCGTCCTTCACCCACATGTACTCTTATGTCTTCTACGGTCACCGTCACAAACGACCCACGTCTCGCAACTGATGGGAGTAACAGCCAAACTCCCGGTTTTCAGTGTCCTGCGATCGCAACCGCCTCTAACTCCATCGAAGCTCCAGCTCTTCTTCGACCTGATTCTCCATTCATCCTCGCAGCGTTTAATGTTCGAACATTGATGTAGATCGGACGACAAGCATGTCTGGCCCGTATTCTTGAAACGCTTTCGGTAGACATCTGTTGCCTTTCAGAGACCAGATTACAAGACTCTAGCGCCGTCATTAGAATGGCCACTCCGGTAAACTCTGACGCCAAATACTACTTGCGGGCTTTCCGGAGACCCAGAAGCTGCTGCCACTGATCAAGCTGGTGTTGGGGTTGTACTGAGTGCCAGGGCTCAATCAGCTCTGCTTGAGTGGATCCCAGTCAACAGTCGGCTATCTGCAGTCAGACTACGAGGTTCATGTAACGTAATCAGGCATCAAGCCGTTAAGCGTGCCTTGTTTGTCGTCTCCGCCTACGCCTCTACAGACTGCAGCCCGGGTGTAGTTAAAGATAGCTTTTACCAGAAGCTACATGAACTTCTGCGTTCCTCCAAAAGGACTGATATAGTCATTCTTGCCGGGGACTTTAACGCACGGGTTGGCCACCTTCCACCAAGCGAGCACCATCTTGGGGGTAGTTTTGGTCTCGGTGGCAGTCGATCAGACAATGGAAACAGACTGCTTGCTCGTTGCTCTGATCATCGCTTGTTTCTTTCGAGCACTAGTTTTCGGCACTCGAGGAGACACACTGCTACCTCGCGCCCGCCCTCACAAACGCAAGAGTGCTCCCAGCTTGATCACATAGCAATCAGCTACAGATGGCGCGGAAGCGTAACGGACTGCCGATCGTACTGGTCAACTTTTCTAGACTCCGATCACGCATTGGTTCGTGCTAAGATTTACATGCGTTTCGGAGGACCACCTAAGCGCACCCACTACCGACCGGACGTCGCGAATCTACAAAACCCAGCGATTTTAACCAGGTACCAAGCCTCACTGTCACCCTTTCTTGGCTCAACTACTGATGGTGATCTCGATTCGCAGTGGGCGCATATCAAAGATGCCTTAGTTTCCGCCAGTATCGACACTTGTGGAGTTACGCGTCACCCACCGAAGCATTGGATTTCCGCCGACTCCTTGTCGCTAATGGACAGACGCCGCTTTATCCCATCGGATTCCAGACACAGTGAAGAACGCCAGTACCTTGGTCGAGAGTTGCGCATGAGTCTGCAAATGGACCGCGAAGCTTGGTGGTGTGAACGTGCTAGGCAGATGGAGCTTGCTAGTCTCTCTGCTAATGCCAGAAAAGTTTTCCATCTCATTCGAGTCACTGAAGGTGTTCGATCTGGTATAAGTGAAACAATATGCGAAGAGGATGGCACCTTAATCACCAATCTTCAACGACGGTTGGAGCGATGGGCCGAACATTTTGCCTCGCAGTTTTGGCCTCAGCTCCATCTGCTACCTTTGGCGCTCGCGCTGGGACCGAGTGGTCTACCCCACAGACCCTCCCTCTTCTCAGGAAACTGAGCAGGAGCTCCGGCACATGAACCGTTATAAAGCCATCGGCACTGATGGTCTTCCTCCGGCTCTGTTTAAAGATGGTGGCGCATCGCTGGTCCGAGAACTTACCGCTTTGTTCTCGAAAATTTGGTCAAAAGAGAAAGTTCCGTCATCTAGGGGTGAATCAATAGTCGTCCCCATTTTCAAAAAGGGCCTGCAAACAATCTGCTCATCATCATCATCATACACGTTAGCTAGAGGTGGGAAACAGCTACTGTGCCGCAATACATAGAAAAAAGGAGAAAAATAATGCAACTGGTGCAAGCTGGCTGGGCTACCGGTAACGGATGGGCATCGTTCCGGTAAGCTACTAGCCGGCTGCCGTGCACCAAAAAAATTACTATGCAAAATTATATAAGGCTAAATAATGAGAACGTGGTTGGAGGGGGAGGCTAATAGGGATGGGGTGGCACAAAGAAATTCACAGCACGAACGCCGGTCGGCCCCTAGCCATATCAGCAAGTGTATCCAGCCAAACGTGTTCATCGTCTTTCGGACCCCAACCAGGGAGCCGAGACGCTCTAACCGAGGCCAACTCAGAAGTGAGGAACTTCATTCCTCTCGACCAAGTCATCGCTTGGCCACACCTCCTCTTCTTCTATCCACACCCCCGGAGCGCAAACAACACACGTCGCGGAAGTCAGTGGGCTGGCATGCGTAACACGTGGCCGAGCCATCGGAGCCTGATGCGTGAAACAACGGTGCTGAGCGGTTCAGTTCCTTTCCCTGTGACATAAACAAGGCGTCGAACACGCTCGTTGCTCACGCGGTGTTCCCACCAGATGTGAGCTAAATTACGCAGGCACCGGTGGTCGAACGTAACTAGCCTCTTCAGTTCCGCTGCCTTAAGCGGCCAGATTTCACAACCGTGCAGTAGGGTCGAACGTACTGCTGCATTGTACACTCTACCCTTCAAGGCAACAGTGATGTCGCGCCGGCGCTAC